CATTCTGAAACTTTAAGGATATGTATGAAAATTTCAGATGGAGTAATTTGTTCCCGAGTATCGCTTAAATGATGGGGTATTTAGGAAATTTTATTCCATTAAGTTTTTCATGTAGGTCCTTAAATTACTTTAACAATTGGATTAATAATTGACAAGCTTTAATAAAAAAATATAATAATAATAAAATGGGATCTAAATATGAATAGTCACACTTAAACTCTACCTAAATGTTAAGGAGTCAAGAAAGTCTCATTATATTTAAGAATATAATTTCAAATTTGCATTTCATTATCATACATAGTACCTATTAGCTTACATGCTTCTATTTGTTATTGTTTGCACTCGTTTTACATTTCTCTATTTTTAATTTTTATTTGCTACCCGATAATATCATTATTTACTTTCTTATATAAAATATATTTTTTTAACAAAAAAAAAACATATTTTAAAATTGTTATAAAATAAAAATAACATTCCGAAAGAAATAATTCTTGATATTATACCTAGATGTTGGAGAGTCACCAATAATTATATTCTATAAAGAGTATATTTTTCATTTTAAGGAATATTATATTAAATTTCAAGTGAAAATAGTTACTTTAAATTTTGCTTAGATGCTAGAGAATTTTAAGATAATTCTTTAACTTAAAGATTTTCTTGTTATTCTTAAATAAAGAGCTTTAGCAAAATTTTGTTTTTATTAAAATGAAGGGAATTAGTATTAAATGTCAAATCGAAACCATTTCATCCAAAACCAAAAACAGTGCATGATTAAATAGTACCGATTTATGGGTATTATGGGGGTGCTAATCTTTTCCCACACATAATCGACTACTGAGCCTAACCTAATTTTTTATAGATCGAAATTTATTTTTTTGTTAAATTTTAAACCTGCTTCTGTAGTTCTATTAAAGAAATAAATTTTTTGATAACCAATCACACCATAAAAAAGATTAGTGACAATTCTCTCATTTTTCTTAATTTTAAAATTCTTTATGTCTAGCGGTTCTAAAACCATTACTGCATATAAATATTACACATACACATTTATCTTTTTTGAGTATTTTGGTGGCCTAAAAGATTTTTGGCCTTTTTGTGGGTAAATGAGCTTTTGGTTGTTTTATAATTGTCTTTTTATCTTCATCTATGTTTTTGTATTTTTTATTTAAATTTTCTTAAGAAATGATTATTATAATTAAGGATAGTTTGAGAAAATATTACAAAATCTATTTATAACTCAATATGTATTTGAACAATTTAGTAAAGATGGTCGACAGAGACATAAAGGAAATATTTTTTTATTATTTTTAAATATTTTTTTTTCTTATTTTAGATTTTCCATTCTTTAATTCGTTATTTTTCTACTATTTTTTTTAATTTGATATTTTGGAAATATAATTTAAATGTTCAAGAAATATAATAATTAGACCAAATAATTTATTCTTTAACATTAAAAAATAAATTATACCTTCCACAATGAAACAAAGCAATGAACTAGTTATAGTAAAAATTAAAAACTGTACATGTCTTTTTTTTTATGAAAAACTATTTTTATAAAATGAAAATATGAAAAAAATTTTATGTTATGCATTGTGTTTAGAAAATAGAAAATGAATTAATGAATTTTTTCTTGGGCCATACAACAGAAGGTCCACTATTACGGTCATAAAAATGTTTTGTCCAATTCTGCTAGAGAACATAGGCATATAGAAGAACGAAATCGTGTTTTTTTTAAGGGTTGTAAATGAACTGAATGAGTAAATATATATTTATGATTTATTCGTTTAATTTTTATGTGTTTGGGTTTAGTTTGTATTTAATAAAAGAATTATTTTATTTATTTGAGCTCAATTTATTTAAATAATTAAATATTTATATTTAATTTAATTAATTTATTCATAAACATTGAACGAATATATTTACGAATAATAAAAAAATTATAGTAAAATAAATTTAAACAAACTTTAAACAAACTCAAAAGAATATAAATAAACCTTAAAATATAATTAAGATAAAAATAAAAATATAATTTTATTAGTATTATTACAAACTAATAGTAATAAAATAATAAACAAATAAATTTTAATCAAATTTTAAACAAATTTATTTACAAATATAAATGAATCAAATAAATTTTTACTTATTTTTGATTCGTTTAATAAATAAATATAAAAATATTATTTAAAATTATTATTAAATTTAATAAATAAGTATAAACGAACGAAAATTAAACATGTTGACAGGTAATTCGCCAAAAACTTTGGTTATTTACGCCTCTAACGACTAGAGGGAAAAGCCTTTTACGTTTGTTTTTGGTTAGTCTCGAACTCGGGATGTAGAATAGATTAATTAGTAGAATTTACCGAAGCCGTGTTTTCATTTTTTTCTGTCGATTTTGCTATGCTTGCCGGAAAACGTTGAAAAAACTCCTTTTTATTTTTAAAATTAAATGTATTTTCATCTCATTTTCTAAAAAAAAAAAAATTTTATCAAATATTTATTAAATATGTTTTCACTTCTGTTTTCTATTTTTCATGAAAATAAAAACAGAATGAAAAATAGAACACAGAAAAGAATTAGGTTTTCTTTTAAACCAAACACACCCTAAGAGAAAACAATAAAAACATCTCAATCAAAAAACAAGCCACCAAAGAACATTATCAAGAAATCTCGGATTTAGCCAAACCATCCGCAATAGAGTTTGTTTTCTCGAAAAATATGTTTGAATGAAATACCGTTGAAATTGCATTTGAGACGTTTAATATTGATTTGAGATGTGTTTTTTCCTTCACGAGATAGAATAATAATTATTGGCTCAGAGAATAGCCTTACTTGAAAACAAGCCCAAGAAGAGGAAAGGAATAATATCACTGACACTCCGAGTAAATCACACCGGCAAGCGGCAATCCGACGCTGAAATCAGGGGTTAGGAGACGGTAAATAGAAAATATTGAGCAATACAAAGAAATTGATAAAAGTATTATTGGCGACACTATAAATTTCTCGACGAATGCCATAATATATATATAATTATTTCCATTGATCTACTTCAACGAATTACACAATTTAATTTACCCCAATACAAACAAGCCATCTCAAGTAGCAAAGGAAAACATAGAAAATAGCAACCCCTGACCATAAAACGAATGCAAGATTCTCCAATTGATTCACCTAATAGAAGCAATCATGCACGTACTACATCTATTCACATTATCCCACCACCAAGGTGAAACATTTCAGTGCAGTGGACATCTTTTACTTGACACCAAAACTCTGGGGGCTTGGAAGAGACCCTTGGAGAAAAACTGTTATTAGTTTTTTTTTAATAAAAGAAGGCTGTAGTTTAGATAAGAAAAGGAATTGCATGAACTGAGATTTGACTATCATGACACTTTTTAAGTATGATCTACAGAAATTAATTAAGTTGAACTGGATAAATATTATTAGTTAAAATAACGTACACTCAAGGCTTGTTGGCGTTACCCATCAAAAACAAGTCAATTAAGCGCGCAAACGAAGTGAACGAAGACCCATTGCTATTCTTCACAGCTTTCCGGCTCATTTCACTCATCTTTTTCACCCTCTTCCGCACCTCGCTGTCCCCATCCATCAAGCAATTTAGAGCTTTGCCAATTTCATCTGCCATCACCGCATCACTCTCGCCCAGCTTATAGTCTAATCTCATCTCCACTGCTAACCCCAAATCTTTCACCATCTGAAATGCATTCATTTGTTGCTCTCCGTGCATTGGCCATGTCAAAATGGGCACCCCATACCATAAGCTCTCAAGAATCGAGTTCCATCCGCAGTGTGATAAAAAGCCTCCGATGGATTTGTGGGCAAGGACTTCAACTTGAGGAGCCCAACCACATACCATTCCTCTTCCTTCTGTACGCTGCAAGAACCCTTCAGGCAAAATCTCCTTCAGATTGGGGCAATTACTGGGCCTAATTCCCAACCCCTGGTTCCTTGGACTTCGTATCGGCAGTGACCACAAGAATCTATGCCCGCATTGCTCGAGCCCCCGTGCAATCTCCATGGCTTGTGGTTCCACCACGCCAATACACGCTTCCAAAACAGATGAAAACCACCGTTGATGGGGGTTGATTGTCAAGCCACTTCATGATCTCGTCATTTTGGACCTCATCACACATCGAACTACTATGACCTCGAAGCTCAAGTACGGGCCCTACCAAGTAAAAGGGTGGTATGTCATACTCTACCAGAGACTTAACCGCTTGAGGTTCTAACTCTTCGAACGAGTTAACAATTATGCCCTTGGTTTCTTTCAATCTTCTCATGGAATTTTTGGTGTAAATGTACCCACCATTCTCGTCAAAAAAAAGCGAGGGTATAACTTTACAAGGAACCGGGTTTGTAAAGCTTGGATAACTAACTCTCCATCGGAAGCTTGAAACACCCTGCCAACTTGATCATGTCGAGTAACTACGTGTAACATAAATCCAAGAGTGGCTGCACCGGAAGTGTAGAAAAGATAAGAAGGGAGGCTAAGTTCATTGGCCACATCAATCATAGGAGCGGCAAATGCATCAACAACAAACAAGGCAGCAGAGACAGCATAATTTTGGTAAAACGTGATTAATGATATACTCTTTGATGTTCGACTTGTGACTCTCCAAAAATTCAAATCCAACTATATATGGGCTTTTGGTATTGCTTAATGGATCAGTTTCCATTTGAGGAAAATTGATAAATCGTATTCGAGCATCAGAAGCCGCAAGTAATCGGACGTATGTTTGGACCTTCGGTTCCAGCAATGGGTCTATAATTAGGGACTGTGACTGAGAAACGATCATCTTGATCACGCAATCGCTTTGCAAACTCAACATTCGAGACGAGGTGGCCGATGGCTGGTGCAGGGATGAAAACTACCTCTATTTTTTCCATTGATTTTTGTCGGTGATCTCTGGTGGGTCGTATTATACAGCGGCAACTTTTTGTCTGAGATTTTTTTTTTTCTTGTTGAAAATGTTGTCCACCTGTGGTGTCAACCACCTCTATTATTGAAACGAAAGGTAAAAATATAAATGCTGACACTGACCCCAATGTTCAGTTGGATATTTTTTGGGGTACTGAAAATACATAATTTATACGCTGATAATACTAAATATAAAATTTTAAAATTTTATCCACACCTTATATGCTTGGAAAGTATGTGACTCATCTTACCATTAATTTTACTTTATATATCTTTTGTTCGGTTTAGAAAATTAATTATAATACTTTATTGCTTTTACTATTTTCTTCTTTAGTTTAGGAAAATTAATCAGACATGACATCTATTGGAGGAGAAAATTTGTATTCAGTTACAAAAATATCACATGTTTTTCCAAATTTTTCTTTAAATTTTCTCTAGTGCCAAGTAAAATTTATAAAATAAATTACTTGAAGATTTTCAAGTGATAAATTCATATATTGTCTTGTGATATTGATGACGTTATTAAACAAATTACCAAATTTCTCATTGTTATTAAATAAATTGTGAAAATTACACAAATGTATCATTTGATAGTTCAAGATATAAAACACGTGGGATTTCACTCATCAAATCTCAAAAAATCATAGATATCCTCTTTCCAATCAAATTTCATTATCAAATACTTAAATTCTTATAGAATTTCGTTCATTGCATTATCAATACGATGCTCCTCAAAATCTTCCATTAAAATAATAGAATGAATCAGTTTATTTTAAGGTTAAATATGTAATTGGTCACTTAATTATGATAATATTTATAAAATAATTATTAAACTTTTTAAATTTTTAATTTAATCATTAAAGTTTGAGTTAAAATTTTTTTCTCACCCAATAATTAATTTTTAAAAAACTTCATTTTCTTCTACATGATAAGAGTCAACTTAAGATCTCTAAAATTAAATATTAAATTTTAACTACTAGAGTATTTCTAAAGGACAATTGATCGTTTGTAGTGATGAAAAGATAATTAAGTGATGAAATATAATTAACATCTTAATTTACAAGAAAATTTAATCTACGCACCAAAAAGGAAAAGTAGTCCCTAACTTATTGACTAGTAGTTAAGGAGCTCATAAGAGGACACAA